ACCGCCCTTTAACTTTACAATACAACACGCCCTCTCACTATTACTTACAACTTTAATAATTTCTGCATTAGCTCGTCGCATGCAATACAATAGTGTTACTTCACTGACAGATCAAAAGAAAAAAATACGGTTTGAGGCACCCAGGGAGACACTGGCAAGAGTTCGGACAGGAAAATATGAACAATCAATCGGACATGCAGAATTTATTTGAACATAGGGGGTCAGATATAAAACAAAATGGCGACTACCAGCACTATGGGAAATACTCGCAAGTTAGACTGCAAAGACTTACACGGTTATCTGTGTACACTATCCTCTAATGTACTAGATCGACTTTACAACCACCCCGCAACATGTCTAGCTGTGTTCAGGTAATAATTTTAGTGGTATATCGTCTCAATACATCGCGCATACTTGTATCGTCCTGTTAAATTTGAATTAGGGCGCCCTTATTCAAATTAACCCTTTTTACTTCTATTTCAAAGCGTGGTGGTCGTCGCGCAGCGCGTGTTCGAATTTAATGTAAATAAACAATGTATTTCACACGCGTTGTATACGTCGCTATGAGTCCAATATCGAACAGGACGCGGCACGACGACTGCTGCCCTTTAATGTTCACGACGTGACGTTTGGTAATTCTTACCAGTCAACTGTTACCCAGTTAATTGTTTGTCCTATAAATTTAATATTTTAATAATACACTGTATGAATACATTTTTGTGAGTTTATCAAGTAACTTAGACCCAATTTGACTGGAATACTATTGTGAGCTATAGATTTCAACATTGTGTGAAACTGGAGTGCCTGTATCCATGGAAACCACTTTAGTCTCAAATATTGATATTAATAAAGTACAACATTGAAAACCAAAACAATCTGCTAAATTCATGTCTTTTACCTCATGGCTTCCTCTACTGTTCAGCTTTTTTATTTTTTTAAAAATATAATTTTTGCTCCACCATCCGTTGATAGCTGAATAACATTCACGGAGATGATCATCAACTTGCCACACAGTAAACATGTTGTCCCTTTTACACTGTCTGACGACAGAATAAATGTCCCCTTGGGTTATTACTGGATCTGCCATCATTCTGCAATAACAAGAAATAAGTCGCGTTACTGAATGAACAAAGTGAAGATTTTATTTGAACATCCATTGAAAAAAAACATACAAACAGCTTAGCAATTTCATTCTGAAATTTTGCAGTATTATTAATGGAACGATAATGATAGTTGATAAATTTGAAATATAATCTGCAGTAAAATGTAATGAACAGAACTTTAAAAAAACTATAAAAAAAATGTACTAAGGCGTTGTAAAAATGTGAGAAAAATAATATTAAATATTTTCTTTTTTGTTTAAAAATTTCCTAAACATACACACACCAAAAAACGTCTTGATCAACACTTCAAGTTTGTATTAATCCACTAAAATTTAACGAGACCAATGAATAAATATAGTGAATTACAAAAATCTATTGAAGGGACTTGGAACAATTTCACCGCTACGATCGACAATTTGTGGTTCATAACTTCATTCAATCAAAGTTACAACATCGGTCAGAAAAAGACCAAAGAACATTCACCCCACGGGTCAGAACACCAACCTCAAATGCCCTGTCTGAGGACTGTAGCGCAGTGCATTGAAAATTCAGGTAGCATAAACTGGTCACAGAGCAAGTGTAATATTCAGTAATTATGAGTCAGAAGATACTCTGATATCAAGAAGAAATAATACAGATTACTAATTAAATGATATTGCTGTAATATATAACGATAAAGTGGTACTTATGAAGTAAAATGTTAGGAACAAGTCAGGATGCATTGTAAACTAGACAATGACTGTAAGTACCTCGGCTTGAAAATGTGTTGCAACGCACGACTTCGGATGGACATATCATCAAAATATGATAACTGTTTCTCATGTTTATGGACGACAATCATGACAATGTTGCTCAGAATATTGGAAGCATGGAAGTCTGATTGACAAGACCACCACGAGGATCATTGCTGCTCTCCAAATAAGTCCCTCCTTTTGTATTGACCAACCTAAGGGATGCTAATTCTCTTTTTCTAACTCTTGCTCCCAAAATGCATTAAAATGCATTAACCTAGAAATGAATATTCATGAGCATGTCATGAATAAATTAGCATAATTGCATAAGTGTACATTGTACAATGTCTTTTGGAATTAAGCAGTTCTAGTACATTGGATCGGTACATGTTACTATGTATCATGATGTATCTTTCCATGATCAAACATTAGAATCTGGTTTCTAGTCCGAAATTGTGCAGTATTTCTCAGGATATTTTTTTTTTTAATATCACAGTGTTTTTGATTTGCCAAATAATTTAAAAATTACGATTAGCTCTCTCTCGGTCATGATATATTTAAAGGGTAGTGGTCTTTTACTGTGCATGTGTGACAATTGTGTTGATAAACAATTTCCAACAATCCAGTGCACCTTTCTAAAACTTGTTATGTAACGTCTTAGTTTTTCTGTATTGGTCTGCGAAACAGTCTTGTTCATATGAGACCCATATCTTGCACATGTGTAGCACGACGACCTCCACCCTTTAATCAAAGTACAGATTGAAATATACCTGAGTGATTATTTACTAACTACTTGCAACAGCTTCATGTTGAAAACCTAGGACTTTGATTATAAATGTGAAAAATTCAAGAGGTAAACAATTGTCTATGTCCATTAAATCACGTGCATGGTTTCACAAGACATAGCAGCTATGAATGCCCACATATTAAAAAATTAAGTGCTTGCTAATTGGATAATGTTGAACTGTCTCATTAATATTATCTAGAACTAACGATGATGTCACAATATTGTGATAGATTGGTCAATTTGAATTCTGACATCCATTTTAATTAATAAAAATGTATATTTATACTAAGTAAAACATTTATAAAGACCACAGTTTTAAGCTCTTCACTGTCATAATAGTTTAGTTTATTGTATCTTTATAAATACATGTTTCTATCAGTATATACAAATAACATTTTATGAAAAAACAAGTACATAAATATGAAATGAAAACTAAAAGAAAATAAGTTTACATGTTGTGAATAATATGAATTATTGTATGCAACAATAAACTTGCCAGTCCTAGGGTTGTCTGATCTATATATTAATCCCAATTTCATTTTTGCTATGCCTATTTCAGGATTGTTGCGGTTTAACGGAATCCGTTATGACTATTAATCTAGCATCATAAAATTTACTGGTACATCTACTGAGCGCGCAGTTTAACAGAAGTAGTAAATCTCAAAAACTAATTATAGGCTAGAATACTGTGATACTGTGGGTATATTCATAAAAAAATGAATTTATTATGTGTGTCAGCATTTAGAATACTTGTAAAACCTTAATATTTTTCACTGAAACTACTGCACAGTTACATTTGTGAATTTCATTGTCTAGATCATATGACACTGTGCCTGACTAAATTTCCAAACTAAATTCAGTTGCCAGACTAACCTATATATCCATGGCAGAAGTGGAGCACAGTTAAAATCGACGAAAATGCTTCATGCTAAACCCATAGGACCGAAGGCTAGAAACACTTGTGACTGCTCAGTCACTGCTTAACACGAACCTTTGTAGATGAGATTTGGTCATTCTTGTCAGATAAAAAGAGCTCTATCATTGATGTGCATTTCCGAAGATGTTTTGCCATGACTTTTCTCACGTCACATAATCTGTCAAACAGCAATCAAAATGTTGCTGTCTATATACCAACCGGACGTTTTATGATATTAGGATTCCTTTCTCATTCTTCCGTCTCTCCCATAAACATATTATTTGTAGATCTCACTTCACAAGTCTTCAGCCACTTGAGAAGTGCTCGCTTTAAATTTAAAAAAAATATTGCTTTCATTACCTTCACTCAGTAAGTTTTGTCTCAAATCCAAACACAGAATATGCATGAGGACAAACATGCATTGCTATGAAAACATTTTCGTATATCAATTGTTTTATTTTTGTTTCCTTTAGAGAATTACCACCACTTGGTAAACAATATGTGATGCGGCTTGTCTTTGTTGATCAGCCAATACCGTGTGCGGTTGTTGCATCATGGGTAAAAACTTCATGCCACGAGTAAGTATATTGAATTGTAGTCTTGTAGCAGGAAATTGATTTAATTACAATGAGCAACCAATTTAATACTAATAAATAACGTTTGTGGTACGAAATGAATTATTATACTTATGTATGGAGTAACACTTTCTCATCGGAACTCGCATCACAAACTTGGGGCTAATCTGCACTGGCTCGGAAGGTTGTAAATGATTAGCTAGTTTGAATTTGCATAACAATACTGACAATGAACGTGCATTCAACGCCACAAGTTTTTTTGTTTTTTTAGCCAATCAGAATTCATCTTCCGAGCCAGTGCAGCTCAGCCGCAAACTTGGCAACTCAAATGAACTGATTTGTAGAAAGCCAGCAACTCATCCACCTGTCATTTGTTAGTCCCCGTTCGGACGCAGTCCGAAAACGTGTACTTATGTTTTAACCTCTGTGTGTCCGTGCGTGCGTGCGTCTGTGTGTGCGTCCGGACCTGTATCTTAGAAATGCCTGAACCAATCACAATCAAACTTCACACATACATCATACATGATATTATACATATGCACGTCAATTTGTTTCACGATCTGATTCAAGATGGCCGAATGGCGGCCATTTTTGTGCTAAAAATCATCAAAACTAAGCATTTCTCGGCTGTTTACAGATGGATTTTGTTCAAACTTGGGATATACGTTAGACATTATAGGACCTTGATGCAGATCATTTTGTTTTACGATCTGATTCAAGATGGCCGAATGACGGCCATTTTTGTGCTAAAAAATCCTAAAAATCAACCATTTCTCGGCTGTTTACAGATGGATTTTGTTCAAACTTGGTATATACATTAGACATTATAGGACCTTGATGCAATTAATTTTGTTTTTCAGATAAGATTCAAAATGGCCGACTGGCGGCCATTTTGTATTAATGAATGTGGTTCTCGTGCCATATCTCTGACTTGCTTTCACTGATTATGTTCAAATTTTAAATATTCATTATACATCATGTCATAGATAG